CTACACTTCGCGTCAGCCTCCTTTCTGTCCGCTTGTATACTTGGGTCCCCTTTCAAACCCACCCCACATCCTGAACACTTTACAGTCTTTTTAACCATGCATTTCTGACACCCATTGTCCCTATGACTTGTCTCACTCGATAATTACAAAACTCGAGCCCTGCCCTACGAAAAAGAGAAAGTCTAAACTCTACTACAAAAATTTGTGTGTTCAATGTACGTGCACCTCCATCACGTGGTGGCAAAAGAAAAACAACAACAAATACAAAAAAATCAAACGCACAAACTAGTAAATGCCTGGTGACTGACCCCCAAAAAAGCCGTACAATAAAATAAGTGCTACAAAGATTTTAACTGCTGCCTTATAATTATAAAGACAAGCTCAAAACATGCAAAATCACTTATTTGCGCAGTCGATCGGGAGCGCTCAAAAAACACTTTCATCCACCGTGACAGTCCGAACCGAACTGTTATATATAAGACAGCGCCATCTATTATACTGTTCGGGAGATACTGCCTACTTTTCCTTTTCGTCTCTCCTCTCGGCTACACGTGACGCATGAAAATTTTAGAATACGAGGAGCTTCACCCCTAAATATTGGCCTGCACACTCTACTGCAAGTGCCGTCGAAAGACCATAGTCTTCTGCCGGCTGTACTACAATGTTTCGCCTTGCCTCAGACAGATCCTGCTCTATGTAAAATCGGCTGCATCTGGCTGGCATGGATAAAATATAGGGCGCACTGTGTGAGATATGAATGCCATCTGGCAAAGTTGTTGCGAAACATAGCCTTAAGCAGAACGCGGAGTGACTGCCAGATGAGAGCGCCATATTATCGGCAGTGGGCACTTTCATGCATAGCATATCGTTTTCGGGGAGCTTAAAAACACTAGGTCTTTAGAATTACGTATTTATGTATTTCATAGTGAAGAAACAAAGAACCTAATATTTAAGCATTGACGTTGCACCTCACATACGTTTATTAGTTGCTTTTTCATCGACAGTGTTTACAAGTATGAACGCTGCCAGCAGTTCTAGATAGGTGGGCATTCGTCAATTGCTTTAACTTCGACTGGGTGGCTGAATTTTGTGACAAACAGACATTATAAAAACTTTATGAGATCATCTCGCGTGAAAATATAAAGGATTGTGACGCCGGATTCTTCCTTTTCTGACACCTCTTTAGTAATTGGTGAAAATTTACGAGATAAAAAAATAGTGCGTGCTGGTTTTGTGACCATTTTAAGGGTGCAATTTGAAGTGATGGCAGTTGTGTACCATGTTTTTTACACAACATTCTGTTTCTCCTGACCTTGTTATTTTGGAGCATGTTATTAAATTGTTATTGTTAAAGATTGATATTAGAAAGTCGCCAAGTCCTTAAGGTATCTCTGGTTGTCTTCAGAAAGCGTTATGCCGAACGGTGTGCGAAATCCAGAATATATTCACGAGCTGTATCACCACAGGAATATTACTGGAACATCAGTACCTTGCCTTAGTGAAGGCAGTGCCGAAATCTGGTGACAAAGTTTGCATAAAAGTCGCAGGGCAGTTTCGCTAAATGCAACGTCCTGTAAGTACTTAGAATGTATTCAGAAATGTATACTCGGCTTCCTTTATAAACATAACATCCCAACGCATGTGCAGCATGGTTTTGCAGAAGGCCTCTTGAGAGACATTGAAGTCGTTGAAATCGTGCATGCTTTGCTAGCACTAAAAGAAAGGGAAACAAACTGATGCTATATCTATAAATTTTAGCAAAGCATTCAACAAGGACTCTCACCTTAAACTGTTTACTAAAATACGTGTTGTGTTAAAAATGAGAAACTGATCGCAGAGATTGAAGCTCACTTTACTGACCACCATCAATGTGTCGACATAAGTTAAACAGTGTCAGATATATGCTTCCTGCCAAGTGTGGCATCCCCTAAGAATCCGTTTTGAGACCCTTTATCTTCTTGTTATGTATAAATGATATCACTGCTGACAACGGCGTGTTGTATGAGCAGACAACAAATAGCAGCTTAAGTTAAACGGATATTTTAATAACCCGAAAGAATTCGGCAAAATTGTTCATCAAAGATTATTACTAAAACTCTCACGACCAAATCTACATCCTGCTGTTCTAACATGAATTGAGCAATTTCTTACTTACCAGCTGCACTGAGTGTGCGTAAACATTAACAGCTCTGAACCTCGTCCAGTAGAGCCCGGCGCCCCTCAGGGTTCCGTATTAGGCCCTCTACGTTTTCTATTATACATTAATGACCTACCATTGCATGTAATTCAAAGTTCGCGTGTTTTATTATAATTGCGTTATTCATCGCTCAGTTCTTAGCAATACTGACTATTTGCCTCTTCAACAAGAGTTGCACAACACTTGTGTCAGCGCTGGTTACTGGTTTTAAATCTCAGTATCTGAGAAACAATGTCTTTTTCTCGCCACTGTAAGCAGTTGGAATTCTGATATGAAATAGTATATCACCACTCAGAGATTGTAAGCCATTATAAGTAGTGAGGTGTCACGGCATCTAGTCACCTCAACAGGAGTGCACTTGAGACAAACGTAATCTCATCGCCTAACAAAACGTCTCGGTTTTCATGACGACAATAACAAAGCACTCCCCAGCATGTCAAACTACTAGCTTACAAGACACTAATACTGTCCAAACTGAAGTACGCATGAGCCATTTCGAATCTTCGTCAGATTTTCCTCGCAAAAACGGTCGAGGCCTTTCAGAATCGCGTCATTTGGTTCATCCATTCCACCTTTGCACATGATATCAGCGCAACATCTTTGAAAGCAGAATGTGGCTTTAAAAAGTTTTGCAATCGACGTCGCATTGTTAGTTCATCATTATTCACTAGGTTCTACCACAGCACGCTAAATGAAGCGCCGCATATTTTGTCACCATCCCGCATATCATATCGCATTGGCCACCCCTTAAACATTGCCGGGCCTCATTCTCGTAGTGTTAACGTCACAGCTTCTTTTTTCCTTGAGGAGCCAAGGACTGGAACGACCTTGCGCAGGATACCGTTAACTCAAGCCCATCTGCTTTCATAGAGGTAACCGCATCACAATATACCATGTAGCAAAGTGCTCACCATGTTCCATATCTTGTAACCCATCCCTTATGTAACACCTCCTATAGCGGTCTTTAAGCAATAAAAGTGAAAGTGAAAGTAGTTACGGGGAGTAAGCAATGAGAAATCTGTATTAATTTTGAAACTACAGTGCCTATGACCATAACAATGACAATGAAGCCAGTAATGTATTGTTATGGTACAGTATACGTTCATCCTTCAGAAGTTGTGCATAAATAATACCTGAAAATTTTCTTAAACAAATATATCTTGTGGCCAAAACACCTTGCGCAGTGTTGGCAAGCGGCCGCCGTAAGTTCTTTTTTGCAAATATGCGTATTTGAGTCATCCCCATCAATAGTACTCCTGCTGGAATATAAAACATTCGTCCACCCCACTTTAGATTGTGGCGTAGTTACATGGGACGTTTTCACTGAAACCACACTTCAAAAACAAAAAAAGAGCACAAAAAGAAAAAAAAAGCTGTTCCGTTTGTTCCCGATGCATATGGCCGCACTTCAATCCCTAATATAATATCTCAAGCTTGCTTACCTGCTATAACTGATCGAAAACGTCTGTGTCCTCTGAAATTCTTTTTTTACTAGTGAAAGTCAGTACAACAGCTACACGTCACACCTTCTTGCATATTCGTCTGGTTACGCTGTCAGGCACACTCACCAGCTGCAATCACGACAATTGTCAACTGTTTCAAGTATTCTTTTTTTGCCTAGAACGATAGTGGATTGGAAGAATTCCTCATTATATTCGTATAAACAGCGCTACAACGGCACAGAAGGGACACGACCAAGCGCTTGGTCCTGCCCCCTTTTTTTGTCACATTGTAGCACTGTTTGTCCGAATTTCAGTGTGGAGTACCAACAAGATCCCATTAATACTTCGAATCTGCCCGTTAAAACTGCGGCACAAATTTCACTATCGCAATTCAGTAGAAACCATTATGATGTTTGGCTCAAATGTCTCGCGTCTTTCGTTTCCCTTCTTTTTACTCGTGATAAGTGATTGTCTGTTTGATTTGCAAACTGTAGAAATAAGGCCGCTTGCCTGTCGCTTTGGTTCTTCAAAGCACAAGCGTAAATATGAATCGATAGACCATTTTTCATTGTTATGTGTTACGCGCCTGTATATGTACCCTGCTGACGAGACCTTGCACTTATTAGGTAAATAAAGAAACGAAAAATAAATAAATTAATTTTCATAAAACAGGACACATCATTTTTAGCACTGCGTGCTCCCGACCACTTCGCCGACAGGCCTGACGGGGTGGCACTCGTGGCCTTTCCGCCTTCTCATCTAACGATTACTGCCATGGAAAAGTGAATCACTTGCGCCATCTACGCCAATTTAAAAATGCGAAGGATAACGAGGTACTTTGCAGCTAGATGGGCTCATTTACTGAAAGCATTCGAGAAGTTGGCTAAAACATTATGCATGCAGCATTTTATTTCAAAGCTGTTTTATCTCATTCCGTCTATACACCGAAATGCAAACAATAATGCATTCTTTAAAACATGACATCGTAAAAATGAACACGAAAGTAAGGAATGCTCAATTGTTTAGTCGAGAATACCATTCACAAACGGAAACTGGAAACAAACTAGATATAAAAAGTGCTGTTGCGCCTATAGCCGTAGATACCGTGTTAGTGGCTGTAGGTGCAATCACATTTTTTCCTGGGCTTTTGTAAGCGTTTCTCTGCACTAAATCTATCTATCCCTATGCAGCGTGAAAACCCGCAGCATTCGTCTATAGCTGCTATTTCGTGAACATTTGCGAAAATCCACTCGCACAAGCGCACTACACAATAGGTGCCCATATGGACAAGCTATATCGATGGATAGATAGTTAGGCCGAGCCATTGTGTAGAAATAGTAGGCTGTTTCATACTCCGTACTTCGTAAGCAGTAGCATGCTGGAAAAGCATGTTCTTATGACTTTTCTTCTCGTGGGCTGCATCTTGACGCTGGTATACGGAAGGGTTCCATGGAATTTTGTTCCCAGCATGCGCGACGTAGGTACCTGTCAATTTAAACCACCATAAAGTGCATCATATATGCTTATTGTAGCAGTATCACTGCTTTAAAAGTAGTTTAGCTGTATTCTACCAGCTTTGCTTTACCGAAGAAATATAGGATGGGATAGACGTGGTTTTTAACCGTAAGAATGAGTCAACTTCACTTTATTCGTTTATTTGTGTAAACAATGTCAGGAACTATTGAACAAAATGCACAGCTTCAGAGTGCTCTGCGTCGTAATTAGGCATGAATATATGTAGACACGTTCAATACACAAGTTTGTGTCTATTAAAAATGGTTGAACACTTCATGCTGCTAATAGGTATAATTGAATCGTGCGATTGGAGCCCTGTGGCACGTACGGCTACAATGCCTTCATTTATGCTGAACACAAGCTAGGGTTCATGCTAGTTCATTTAACCTGAGTTTTCACTGATGAACAACTTTGAACCATAAAGGCAAATGATTGCTCTTGTCTGCTGCGTGGCTTTCTCATGCATGCGTGATATTTTTAGCTAGACTCTTGCAGGAGTACAGTTCAATGGGTTCGCTCGTTTATATTTGCGGAAATGGATGCCATCGCTTCAGCAATGTCTCTTCTTGTCGCTAATGAAAGTACGTATGCTCATTAAGGCCTCCACCCACACTTTACTACCGAGCTAGCACACGAGCATTAAAGACGGCAGTTAAGCATCGTTGCTAGTGAGCGCACAAATCGCGCAGTAACTGTAGATCCATCTGGTCATGCAACGTTGTTTTTATCACCCTTGTTTGAAATTTTTTACCTCAGGGAAACTCAAGTTGCAGTTGCCCCTGACTGTGTTTGCCAGCCTAGTGCTCTTGGGCGTTGATATACCGTAATTTACACAAACATATGTGAGGATAGAAATTGTTATGCTGAAAGAGACAAACTATTTGAGGAATCCTTTCTGTGTTAACGCTTTATTTCTACTGACGTTATGTCACGCAAGACAAGATCGATCACATCGGTTGCATTAAAATATATTTCTTTATTGGTTTCTGCTTGTTCACATACAAGTCTACTAATAATAAATACATTAGTACGTATTTTTTCACACGTGTTGAGGAGAACTCCTGGTTCATGTTTTTTCTTTTTCTTTCAGTTCGTAAATACGACAGAAAAAATATGGACGTACTTCACAAGTGAACCTATCGAAATTGAGTGTAAGGCAGACGAAAAACAATACCTCAGCCTGATTTCGATTGAATTCGAACGGTCTTACTACTACAGGAAGAAAAAGTAAGATCACATAAAAATACAAGTCTATTTGAGTGCAATAATTTTTTTGTGTGTGTGGTATTTCCAGGATGTGCTACTCACTAGTGGGCAGGTTTGATCCCAAGCACAAAGACGTCATGATAATTCACTCTCCAGGTAATGCAAGTGTTCAAATTTAATGGCACATGCTGAAAAGTTTACCAAACCGTGTGCCCTACAGTAAAGTCGCAACGCTATTTTATTTTACCACAAGAGCATAAAACTATGAGAACGCCTAATGGGAAGCTAAACAGATTTATACGTAAACTGTATTACTTTCGAGCGCACTGAACACCAAAATCGTCATAAAATTGGCGATACACAATTCAAAGTGCGATGTTAGCGGGGAGCTTGAGTGGTGCGCTCAGCTGGAATCCTTGATTGGTGGAATGCATCGTTATCGGTGCAGACCGCAACTACAGCTGCTCGCGGACATGCAGTGCGGTAGTTTTACGTACACTTAGACTTATAATAAATACAGCCACCTATTGAGTATCCAGAATTGACATGAGCGCTTTCATGTAAACATAATTCAGGGTATAACTGTAATTTGAGCACATAAAAAAAAAAAGCGGGGAGGGGGAGGGGCAAATATTTACTGAAAGATGATGTGAGCTACCACATTCTAAATGTTACAGGTTTTTTCCCTTAAACATAACTGTTATTCAGAGATAGAAACTATACTTTAACTGCAGCTGTTCCTTAAGGCACAATACACATTACCAGAAATTCGTGTCAATAGGATTAGAGGCCTGGTTGACAGTGATACCAATGATCTGAACGAATCCACGCCCGTTTCTGTTAGGCATTTGCTTCTAAGACTAACGTGTAATGGAAATAAAAACAGAGTATATAGACATTGCGAGAAAAACACACGCTGTTTAGGTGCGTTGAGTGAAAGGAATGCTCGATGAAAAGCTGCCATATAATTACGAATGATATTCTCCGCGTCGTCCTTATCACTATATACCTATAAGCGGCCAAACTTTCTTGTTTCGTGCTGACAAGAATTCGAATAGTTGAAACATATACACCGCTCTGGTGACTCTGAGTAAAACCTACGCGACATCCTTGTTAGAATGCTGCATTTCATGTATGTTCAATCGGTGTGCATCTGTTAGGTGCAGCGATCGCCATAACATATTTAATTGGACAATGTATGGCACTATGCCTTCAGGCGTATGCCCATCATTTTAGTCTCATAGCTGTATGTAGAGCAAGAAAGTGCTTCATTTTGAGCACAGTGAATTACACTTCGGTTGGTTTGAAAGGTACAGTTTGACCATTGAGAGAAGTGTAGTAATAGATGTTTGACTTATAATGGAGGGGCCCTGAAACACTTTTTCGAGTAACTATAGAATGAATTCACTCGAAGAGCTTATTGCCTCACGAATTCACCACTGCGAAAATTTCAAGATTCCATCTAGTGCGCGTGCCCGAACCTGGGTGACCCAGCACGCCCACGAGGTGGCGTCGAGGTAACCTCTTGACGTCCCCTAATGGGAGGCTTAAGCCCGGCCACCTAAACCTGCTGTTTTTTTATGTTAAAGTTTATTCCTCCTCCTCCTCCATTCAGAGCGAGTGGAGTTGCAAAGGCTTGTCGCATGCTGCAATTGCATTCTCTCAACTCTCGTCTCGACGAAAGCGCTGGAAGCTAAGCAGGTAGGAATGGCAGCGCCACAGAAAAACGTCACGCGTGCCTCTTGACCTAAAGCACTTTTCCCTTTTTGTTTTCTTCGAAGGCATGGCTTTTTCAGTGTGATCGTGCGTGCACGTGTGGAAAAGTAGCGGCCTCCCGTGGGGATGTCTGTAACGAGTGAGCGCGCCATGCTCAAATTAGCCAATAGGCTGATAGATGGGTCACGGTGGAGGAATATGAGAGGTGGCTCAACTGTGCCCGTCCAAGCATACCGGTTTCGCTTGCGCTTTGAGCAGTTTCCGATGGAAGGCGCGCGTGCATGAGGGCCATCAGTCACCACAACACATAGGGCCCAACGCTGTGAATACTTGCTCTCTTAAGCAATGTAAGCTCATAAAACTATCTTTACGTGCATTATTGCACGTCTTTTATAAGTTTTAGCAACGTTTTTCTATGCACAAGCGTTGAAGTACTCATATTCAGTGGGTTTGGCGACTTTGGGAGCCGACGCAACTGTTATTGCAGCCGGCCGGTGCGATTCTAATGAAGTCCACCTCTTTTAGCTACTTTTCAATTTGATAGCGGGAACCCTGTTTGGCATAATGAAAATGTCTGTAACGTATTAAATGACACTTCAACACTAGTGGACGGCATCTCGCAAAAATAGCCCTTTTCTTCACACAACGCTCTTCACACCGTCAAGCTCCAATTTATGGCGATCCCACGAATCAGAAGGCAGAAATGATTGCGGTATTTCGCCACACAAGCTTTCGAACGGCGAACAACAAGCTTCCCCTGGTCCTGACTGCGCTTTTGGAGATTCTATATCGATGCCTGCCTGGGCTGCAGGCATCTCATCGCAACTCATGTGACAGTTCAGCGGGTCGTCATCGTTGTAGCTGACGCTAGAAGGGGCGCATTCTCGCTTCGCTAACGCCAAAAGCTGCCTTCCAGCGGGCCGCTTCTGAGTCGTCGATCTCTTCGAGAGGTAGGGTGGGCAATCCGGAAATACTGTGGAAACAGCGTCACACGCCAGGGATGATCGGCGTGGCATGCTCATCAGTACATTGCCGTTGAAGTGGGCAGTCCACGTCTTAGTCACGAGATGAGACTCGAAATGTCTCTCGCAAACACTGTCTGTTGCTTGTAGTGGACGAACTTTCCTTGGTATGTCATGTCGCCGGAGCTTGAGACGCTCGTCGTCTTCCCGGGTAAAAAACAGCGAGTACTTCTCCTGACACGACTTGTAGCCGATCGTGCAACGCGGGACGAAGCACTTTTTCTCCATCAGAGGTTCAAAAAACGATTCATACCGCAAGAAACCATGCAAACGCTACACATGTTTACGTGTTCACCACATGAAACTGCGCGAACGATGGATGGGTGGATGGATGGATGGATGGACGGATGGATGGATGGACAGATGGATGGATGAATGGATGAATGGATGGTTATGGCTGTACCATTCAGATCAGGCGTTGGCTAGCGCCACCAAGCCGTAATACTTAGTGAACCAGAAATAGATTTTTTTCTTTGAAATAGTGAGGTTGAAGACTCGTACTTTGCAGTGAAGTGTTTGATTTTCACTCGTGCCTTGACATTAGCCACCAATCAGATAACCTCCTTCTAGTTAATTCTACCCGCTTAAAGTCTATTTTGCCCTCCCTGTCCCTAAACCCCAGTGCTTTGAATGGATGGATAGATGAATTGATATTGCTGTACCCATTAGATCGGGTGGTGGCTAACGCCACCAAGCCGTAATGGCCCCTGAACAAACAGCACCGCCTCTCGGAGGGAGGGCGAAACGCACGCAAATCGTCGGCGCGCGCTCAGTACGGCGAGGCGCCGCTGTTCACACACCTCTCATATTCCTCCACCGTGAGATGGGTTTACTACGTGTTATTCTTGGGTGTATTGCGGGATTTATCGAGAGAAGAGAAAGCAATTTTCAGCTGACTTTGATAACCTATTGTGGATTCCAGGCCGCATGATGCGCTCTATATTTAGCTTGCGTGTTGTCCGGAGCCTCTCCAGCCGATTGGCAGCGTTTTATGACCATGCTCATAAAGTGCGGCGGGGCCCCTTTAAATATCGTGTAACTAAAAATGGATCTTACAAAACTTCATATTACACATTTCCTAATAAAACTAACCCAATTCCACACATTTTCCTAAACAATTTCTTTTGTGAAACCTTGTATATCTGTTTTCTCTTCTTTTTCGCAGTGGCATGACAATTTGGGCAGTTCGCGTCCGGCGCGGCAGTTACGGATGGCCTTCAGTTGGCAGATCACAGGGCTCGAGACACGCGTTGCAGAACGAGGTTCGCTGCAGCTTCACACCACGCGCTGTCTGAACAACGCGCTCCGCAGAGTTTATTCGTTGTCAGCCCACGCCCTGCCCCAAAGGACGTGTAAAACGCTGGTTGGCATCCCCATCCCCTTATTTAAAAGATCTTGTTCTTATCTGCCGTTGATATGAATAATCTGAAAAAATACCTAATGACAAGACCGGAAATGTTGCCCAATTATTGTGAGAGTTAATAATCTTGGTACAGTTATGAAAATTCGTGCGAGAATTGCAAAAGGCAAAAATTTTTTTTCGATTACTTTTCGGCAGGCTTTTATGTTGCTGCCGTTACACGGGCATAGATGCTAGCTCAGCACAACAGACCAGTGTGCTTGGTGATCCTGAATTTTCCGGATACAATATAACCTGTAATACAGTAAAAAAACTGTGCGCGGTAACAAGAAAGTATTTCTTTTGCGTGGTCGCATTCTATTTGAAACCGATGTGAACATCTTCATGTATTGTTGGCATCGGCAACTCTTTATTACAGGGTAGTTTTATTTCGGACATTGCTACACAACATGAAATATATCACTGAGGCAGAGCAAAAGGATACTCGTACGTCTTTTTACGATTCCTTCACCCAGCACTCGCACGGTAGAAAGCCAGCAAAACCAGAGAAAAAAGTATCATGCTCCACACACAAAAAAATAAGAACAGAGAAACCAGAGAAAAAATATGTTCAATGACCATCGCACAGCTTATATAAACGAAAAAGAAGAGCCAACAAGACATTGGGACAAAATTTATTCCAAGTTGACATTGTTTGGTTTTAACAAATATACAAGTTATAGAAATATACATAAATACATAATTTTCAAGTTCATTGCAAAACAATTGTATATTTCAAGGAGGCAGAAAAAGTTGGTTTACTTGTTCATTTACTAACATAGTTGAGTTTTGATTGGCCAATTGAATTAGGAATAGGTATGCATTCAACACCGAAATAACCTGGCAATCTGTAGTTTAGTACCGTAATTTGTCCTTGGTCTAGACCTCGCAAATGAAATAGTGCGAAGATCATATTCCTCTTCTCTGCTTAGATATTTGTTTGAAAACGTGGTAATATCATGTTTGAGTTTGTGGAAAATCATTGTTGGAATTCGTGGGAAATATTACAGGAAATGTATTCGAAAAAAATTGTTTTTTCCTATTGACGAGGCCTCCTCGACAATGTAAAGAATTAATATTGACAAGTGCCAACAAAAAGTACACATATGTACCTCTGCATTTTATATTTATGAGTTGGCACTTGCATTGGTCTGTAAAATTTTTACAGAATTATGGTGCGCGCATAAGTGGCGCATGATAAAAGGTAATGCTGTCAAAGTTAGCAGCATATGTTGAACTTGCCACGTATTTTTTTCATAAGGCGAAAATATATTACGTTTCTGACTTGATGTAGCATTAAAATTTTGAATGGTAGAGTATAAGGGTAATCAACAGGACACGCGATATATGGGCCACAGGCTTTTCTATAAATACACATGAAGGAACTCTGGCACTCGGGACCTGTAAGGCGTGGTGCATCGGCGAGCATGGAAGTGATAGGTCATCAACCTGTCTAATCTTCGCCCTTTCGTCTTCGTTTCTATTGCCGAGGCTTGAAGTTGCTTTGTTACAAAACGAGAATCAGCAAATCTTCGTCAGTTGCACTTCACAACCTTAACATTTTAGGCTCGCGAATTCAAATCAGGTCCCGATGATTCCAAAGGTTCGTTCTTTGATTTGAAACAAAACAAAAAATCGTCGTTTTCTTTCAAAGGCGAAAAAAAAAAACACGCTCCTACCTTATATTTTACGTTTTCAGAAGGAGAAACTAAACGTAATAAAAAGAACACGCAATGGCCATTATGACGAATATGCTAGATCGGGTGGTAATCCAAGTAACTATATTAATTTATTTATTCAACAATAGCATCAATTACATTCGAGATAAATCCAGGAGGAACAAATAATATGGTAAAACATACAAAAAGACAGAAAGGAGAGAAAAAAGAAAAATCAGCAGTACACAAAAATTTGGTTAGTAAAGACTACCTTGAGACTGCTGCAATATCTGCAAAAATAGTGGGCCCAGAATACCTTAGCAGGTCGAACAGTATCACGCTATTATGAACAATTTCAAATGCATACACACAAGCACGCAGAAAAGAAACATGCGTCAAGTCGCAGCTATTACATTCGAGTACTTCAATATAGCTATAGTATTGCAATGTGCTCTTAAGGCAAGGCGTTAATTTATACAACATGCCTTTAGGCATGGTAAAATATACCGTTGGACGAGGTACCTATTTATAAGACATACGTTTAGGCATAGTTCTTACTTAGATGCCTTTATTATAAAAACCACAACAAACCACATATTCGATAAATAAATGGTTAGAGTATATGGTTTGTTTTCGTTTTTAGGTAGCATTTTTATGCAAACGGAAAGTATTGGATATCTGGATTCGGACGGCTTTGAGTCATCGGATGATGACTTCACGGTTGTCATGAATCGATCTACAAAACGAAGACTGCTGCGGACGGCATCGTCGGCAAGTGTTTCCACCGTTAAGACTGCACCACAGCGGTGGCCGCACACCATGCTGTTTATGCCTGAAGACCCTGCATCTAACTTGCGACTCCTCAACAGGCAAGTTCTTTCTGTGCTTCTCGAGGAAACCGTGCCGAATGAGATCAAAGACGTGAGGATCAATGCACGAAAGAATGTCCTTGCTGTAGACGTTATGCACCGTAGCGCACTGCAAAACCTTCGGCACATAACAGAAATCGGCAACGTGAAAGTTCGGCCAATGGTCCCTACAGGTTGTAATGGCACTGTTGGCGTCATTTATGATGTGGATCTTTCCATCTCAGCTAATGACCTGCCAATACTAATAAAGCCAGCGACTGAAGGCACCCGCATTACGCACATTACCAGACTCGGCAACTCACGCTGCTTGAGGCTTGTGTTCGAGGGAGACAGCCTTCCCTCGTATGTCAAAGTTGGCCATGTTCGCCACTCAGTGCGTCCTTACATACCGAAGCCACTGCAATGCTACAAGTGCTTCAAGATGGGACACGTAAAAGGTGTCTGTGAGAACAAAGTTGTGTGTCCGCGGTGCGCTGAGTCTCACTCAAAAGACGCCTGCAGTGCCACCATACTACGATGTCCAAACTGCCACGGCGCTCATGAGGCCTCATCCAAAGATTGCCCGCGGGTGCGAAACGAGCACGCGGTACTCAGGCGTATGGCGCGAGACAATTCAACGCACAGGGAAGCTGCCGCTACACTACGCCGACGACGGCGTCGTGGGCGAAGACCATCACGGAAAAACGCCTCTACCGATAGAGAGATGTCATCCTCTATCAAAGAGGCTGACCCACAAACACCGAGCTCACTGAAGACGGATACTGCCAAACAGAAGAAAGGGACAGCAGTCGCGCCTTCCGAACAGTGGCCATCTCTTCCACGACGTCAACCTACTTCGGAGCTGCATCAAATCCCGCCGCCCTCGACGACCCCTCAAACCAGTGATGCGATGAATGACGATCAAGTGATAAGCTTGCTGCAATCGCTGATGAGTACCATGCGTGTCCTACTGAGTAATATGAAGACTTCTGCTGCGCAGACCGCACTGCATGTGCTGGACACCCTGAGTCCGGTGCTTGCAGCTCTAAGGTAAAACCATGGCCAGCGAGGCACCTTCGTTTCGAGCGGAAGTCAAGAATGCATCTGTCTTTCAGTGGAACGCCAGAGGACTGAAGTCGCGCATGTCTGACTTTAGACAATTTGTATTTGTGAACCGCTTCCCCATTATTGTGATTTGTGAACCCAATCTGTGTGCTTCAATCAAGCTGTCAGGATATGAGTGCTTTATGTCCTCCACTCACAGAGAATGCAGCAAAGTTATTGTATTCATGCGCCATGACTTTACTTACGTTCACCACAGAGTCTCGCCTGATGAAGGGAATCAGTATGTGTGCCTTACTGTGAAGAAGGATAAGGTTGCTTTCACGATTATCGGAGCTTATTTATCTCCATCAAGCCGCCTTGACTGCGAGCGCTTACGCGGTATTCTGACATCGACTCCAAGGCCATGGGTGATCACTGGCGACTTCAATGCCCACCATTTCCTATGGGGAAGCTCCAGGGACAACTCTAGAGGAAGAAAATTGGTGTCCTTAGCCTCGGAGTACGAACTCTGCGTTTGTAACGATGGAAGCCCTACATATTTACGCGGATCAGCCTATAGCAGCTGCCTGGACCTTACATTGGTTTCTCGCTCACTTATCAGGAAAGTGCACTGGTTTTCGGATCTGGAAACGCGGGGCAGCGACCATATACCAACTTACCTGTGTATAGAAGGTTTCACCAGCTCCAAGTCCTCAAGAGGCCTCAAGTACACCGATTGGCCGAAATTCAAAATGTTAATGGAAGACTGCTGTACCGGCGGCTCATCATATAACCTAGAGGACTCGATAAAGGATGTCCTGCAGAATACTACGCATACACATTTGACTAGTCACAAGCGCACCAATTTCGACATCGAGATTGAGAAACTTCGCGCAATACGCCGTCGTGCAGAACGAAGGTACCGACGGACAAAGTGCATGGATGATTTGAGGCTGGCTAGACGCATTCAAAAGAAAATGCAGCGGCACATGGATAAACTGGCTAGCCGACGTTGGACATCCTTTTGCGAGTCGTTGGATCCACGAAAGCCCTATCACTGATATGGCGAACTGTCCGGGGTCTTAGCACAACCTTGGGTCAGCGACACCCGTTTACATCTCTGGCACTTCACCTTCGATGCAGAGAGATTGACGTCGCAGAATCTTTCTGTAGAAGAATTGCCGGTGATTCCAATTTCACAGTATCGAGAACGGGAACTTTTGACAACCCACCGCCCTCACGTGATCCCCGTATGGAATGCCAGTTTTCTATGGATGAGCTAGAGGCGGCACTGGCTCTGTGCAGACGTTCTTCAGCACCCGGTCCTGACGGCATTACCTATCGTGCGCTTTGTAATCTTGGAGACGAAGCTCGGAAGGCACTCTTACGCCTATACAACGACTCCTGGCAGACTGGTACTGTT